TGTAGATTCCGACATCACCCGGCTGGAGGTAGGGCGTCAAGCCTCCCGGAATCACGACCGTGACGACGTCCTTCTCCTGGCATCGCTGCTTGACCTTCTTGGCCGCATCGAGTCCCAGACGACATACTGTCCAGTCGTTCTGGCTACTTTAGGAAAGTACCAATCCAGCCAGTTGAGGAGCAGGTTCTGGTCCACCCATGCTCTCTCTTGATGAGCAGCGTAGCACCCGCCGACACGCTCAATTGGACCCCGCGTCTTTCGCTTCCAGATAAGACACGGCGGCAGCTTCTTCCCTGACGTTGTTACTGCAAGCGCCGCAGTAATTCTCATGGACGAGAACCCAGTATAATGAATGACGACGTGGCGTGCTCCAGCCTCATCAACCGTGTGAGTTCGCGCATCCTCAAAACAGACAGCGGTCTCGTCCATTAGAACGGTCGGGCCACGGTTCATTGATGGCTTGTGGTCGCCCAAATTGGTCATGTGGGAAACCGCTATCTCCACCAGCTCATCATCGTGGAGTGTTGTGAGGTTGGTACGCTTTCGAAGCGTTAGACGGTTGCGCTTCATGAACCCTTGCACCCACGGATCAGACGCCACGAAACGTATTGGGTCGGCTTCGTGCTGCTCTTCCGAGCGACTTTCTTGAAAGAGCGCAATGGCAATTTTAACGCTATCCACACCCGCGTCACTTTTTCTTTCCGGAGACGCTTATCGTACAGCGAGTCCACCAACTCGTCTTCGACAACCCCTAGAAGGGGTTGGCGACCCCCGATAAAAAGCCGAAAGCGAGCAGCAGACTCCGCACGAATTTGGTCGCGATCGCGCCACCACTTGCGGTAGGCAGACGACGACACTCGCCAACCGAATTGGCAAAGGTGTAGCGCCGCCCGGGAAGGAATTCCACCTCCTTCGGACTCGATCCAGTCGATAGCCTGCTGCTTGGAGCTGATTTTGACGGAGTTGCGTTGTGCTGGCATGACAAAATGGAGACTGAGGAAACAAAGCAATTGAGGCCCAATACTGTACATGTGTGGTGCAGAAGGAAACAAATGGCGGTGACAGGTGGCTTAGTGAGCGCACTCTAATGGATCGCACTCTATTGTTTTAGAGTGCGCTAGAGGAACCCAAATCGATATTATACGTTAGAAAGAGCGTGCTTGTATTACACGATATATGAGATTAATAAGTCTTACTTACTTAACTAGGACGTGTCAGTATTCGTATTTATGACTCTCTGCTTGTTATCTTAGCTGATATGTATCAAAACGATTTTGCTTTCTGAACACGTGGAGATATTTACTACTATATGTAGTATTGGCCTAGGTATCTCACAACGAAACAGTTGCGGACGCGTTGAGTGGAGTTGTTGCCTTGAGTAGACGTCTACTTCATTTGTATTCCTTACCTAGGTCGGCAATGAGTGGGCAACATCGCCAGACCACCAGCACCACTTGCAGACAATCATATAAACTACCAGTATTAGGTAGAAGAGTCCATAGCTGTTATCGAGAGGAATACAAGGGTCGGTGAAACGGAGATGCAAAAGGCAGGAACTATTAATAATGAGGTCTGGGCTTCGAATTATAGTAGGTGTTCAATTGATATATTGTAGTTTAAAGGGCGTAATTTGCGAGGATCTAAATTCTGACCAACAAATTTTCGTTCTGGTTTAGCTGACGCATCACATAACAATAAGAATGCCCTTTATTCTCGTTCCTTCACGCTCTACCATACTTCAGAGCAATCAAGACATTCAGCATGGCACGTTGTCTGAGATTAATTTACTTGAAGTAATATCTCCACGTGTTTCCAGGAAGCAACATTATTTTGATAGATATCAGCTAAGATAACAAGCACCTTTTAAAACTTGCAGCATATTTTAGCATAACTGCACAAATCACCCGCATATTTGCGAGATTTCTCGATCCACCCCACTCTTTATTTGGAAGTCAATAGTTTACTCGGGAAGTAGGTAAAATTTATTCAACAGTAATAGCACCCAACATAGAAGTTAGACACAGTTGTTTAAGGCTTTCAAGAACAAGGCTTTGTACTTCCAAACAAACAAAATGTAGCTTAAAAACACAGAAATATAAACTCGAGAAAAAATATACCGGTGGCCTTTACTTGCAAATTGGCTTCTACAGTCACTATACTATAGTGACAGTAAGTGATGGAAGCGCACCGTCGACTTCGCGACAAACGTTTCACTGTTGCGGACGAAAGACGCATCATCCGTTTACCCACTTTCGTCGAGCCCCACAATGTACTTTTCTTAACACACCTCTTCCTAAGCGCGCATGGTTAGACAACCCTACCCTTCACAATTGCGAGTGGCCTGTGATAATTGAGGTGATATCTTCCGACCAAAAATATGGGAACTACGGGATCGCTTTTCTTACTAACTTGAATTTGATAACACGTAAAAAAAAATATGAATGTCTAGCGGGGATATCTACATATATCAAGGAAAAGTCTATGACGTGATAAATAATTGCCAAGGAGAATTGGAGTTGATTGACCTCTCCATTAACAAAACTCGACAACCAAGCATTTTCGTGCGTCAAAATTACGTTTGCTTGAATAAACAGTTGTAAACACCATTGACATGAGATCGATGATGGCGTGTCAACGGTAAGTTAGCGTGAAGTACCTTTTGTTTTGCAGTGGAAAGTACGTTTTTCGCTACGTTTTCAAGACTTACCTTCTTGTAGCGGCAACAAGAAAAGAAGAACAAAGATCAGGATGTTTGACTACCGAAGGCACGGAGGCAATTACATCGTACCTATATGTGCGTTTTAATCTCAGCTCTACGATCGTGTCATGTATCGACCACCCCGATGGTTCCAAATCTTGGAGTACGCCAGATAGTCTGCAAACTCCGGATTTGCTTTCGCGGCCTTGGGATCCAATCCTGCCAACTTGAGCTCCGCATACACAGCCTTGGGGTCCTTCTTCTCCTTGGGCCAAATACGAAACTGCAGATTCTTTGTTGTCTTGGGTAGTTTCATCTTTGTCGCCCACTTCTGCAACTTCGTAAGTATTGAAATTTGGAAGCCCCTCTCTTCATCTCGTTCACCGTCGTTGCTCTCAGTCACTGAGATTCGCCTCAAAGAGCGTTTGTTAGGGATTCCACCATCCCTTTCAGCTGAAGGGAACATGGCGTCGGCTGCAGATAGCTGGCTGCGTAACTCGCTGGCGTGAGAGCTCGAGAGGGCTTGACTTGTCGACAGCAGAACAGCATCGATTACCATCAACGCAGCGTAGCGTCTCATGCCGAAGCGGTCGTCTTGAAGGGCTTGTGTAGTAATAAGCTAGTTGTGAAGTGAGCTACTAGTGTGCCATGTTTTTCGCTTTCATCAACAACATTTTCGATGCTGCGATCAAATACAGTCGACGTTTTGTTCGTGTACGGTATTTATCGACCGTTGTTGACGAACGGAAGGTTCAATTCTGTGATCGGTTCTTAACCTCTTGCCTGTATTCTCTGGGATTAGAAAAAAAGTATCCTGTATAGTCCAGGATAAGAAAAAAAACGTATATTTGAAAATTTGCTTACAAACTTTAGGTCAAACAGGGATTGGGCTTAAAGATAAGCACATCGAACCCGTGGCAAGAGCCACGAGGCATCGCAGTAGCTGCGCCACTGAGCTCTATCGATCTACGCTGGATCGGATGTGCTGCGGCGTGGTCTAGATTTAGCTGGGGGTGTCGTCGCAACAGCGCAGCCTCCAGGGATGCGCAGAGTGGGTTCAATACACCCTCACTCCTGTCAGTAAGGATGTTACTAAGTACCAAACAAATTCGCGAGTACGTACTTGTAGGCTACTAGTACTCTGGTGTCAGTCGAGAGAGTTTAAATGAGATTTAAACCTCTCCAACGCGACACATATTGAAGAAACGGCGTCTTGTTTTTACAAGAGCACTTGCGATCTTGAGAACTCCTAGACCATGACTTCCCTCCTAAAGACATCTCCATTTCCGGTAGACCATTATATCAGAATATATTTGGCAGAGAATGTAATCATTAAAAACGTTAACCAACGAAGACAGGGCTTGCCCCATCATAACCAAAAAATAAGACTACGATTTCGGGATTGCTTCGGTATCCGCGGATTTGGTCTGCGAAGAGCGAGTGGTGCAATTACTGAAGGCGATTTATTACGTTTCGAGAGTATGCATGTACTTTAGAGTACTGACCTGGCTGAAGGCAAAAAACATGTTTGATGTCGGTCCCGGCTGTTTCAATTTCTACAACAACCTTGATTTCGCTGTTTATTGCATCGTACGTTATTGTTTTACCAACATCTTGAAATTTAGCACCAAAATCATGCCGATAAAACTTCTCTTTCCTAAATGACTTCTTGTGGAACGGAGCTACATGGCGCTCGAAAACGGCGGAAGGCGTGTGCGTCGGTCGGAGGCTGTCACCGATATTGCAAAACAAAACATCAAATGTGCACCTTCTGTAGTCAGTACAACGTTCACAAAGAGACCTATCGCGTTTTGTGCTGCAGAGACACTTATGAAAACGTAGGTGCGGTGTTTATTTATCCTATTTGACCCGACAGAACCTAAACGAGGCCACCGAAGTAAAGATAATTGCATTTCGGCGTCGTTTGTGGCCTATTTAAAAACTGCCTCAACTGACACTTTTAAGCCTATTTTAAAAGTTGATTAAGTGATGTCGTCATCACCGAAGGCGTGCCTCACGCCTCAAAGTACCAACTTGCTAAACAATATGGTTTGCATCCCGATTGTCATTTTGGATATCTAATAATGGCAGCACAAATCATTCGTAGTCAGTCATCCAATGAGGTGCGAGCAGCGTTGCCGAGTAGTGCAAGCACGGACTCGTTGTTGACAGCAATTCCCACCAGCAACGGAGCTGTTCCACGGCTAAAATGCTTCTTTCGATGGCAACTATAAACTCCGCAAATCGGATGAGAGCAACCTCACTTCAATTATTTTACATTGTAGGAATGCCCATGAATGCCTGGCTTTGGATTTAGAAGGGTGATAGAATTCACGCCAAGTCCTCCACTTTTGGAGATTTGCAGTCTCACGACACCCATTCCCCCCCCCCCTTGTGGCAACAGGCTCTGCCGCTGTAATATCCACAATAGGACTAGGTCATGCAATAATGCGTTTATTTTAGGGCAAGCTATATTGGTACACAGCGAAGATCATCACCTGTCGCAGTAAGCAATCTATTAACAATGTGAGGTGTTTGGTATCGTAAAAAGTTTGAGAGGCACTTACCAAGCGACAGGACGGCGATAACGACCACCTAAATTTCTTTGCGAAGGTACTCATCACGAGCGTCGGGAATTGACTAACCAGTTAACTTAAAATTATAAAAGAGATAAAAGTTGTAGCGTTATTTAAGGAGACAGGAAGTTTGCTTTAAAGTTACTGAGGGGGAGGCGAGTGCCTTTGTGATACGTGTACATTGTATTTGTGTAGTAAGCTAGAAGCTTACATTACAATTACATTAAAAAAAAAATAGTTCTAAGGTATTGAAAGTGAGGAGAACATTGTAATAGAAAAATAAGATTATGGCAACACCCTTTCCTGCAACAGACACGGGACTGCATACCGCATCAGGTCCCGACAAGTTCTCTGGGGAGCCTCGTTTTACGTTATTTGTCTGCCCTATTCCGCTGCCTGTATGATAGGCGTTTATGATGTGCTGGTTCGTACGTGATGCACGGCAATCGAAGCGTAGCCACTCTGCTCGAACAGTCACTCTACGAGTTGCCTTCATTAAAGAATACTTAAAAATACAAGCCCAAATTCTTAGCTCAGCTAATTAAGTATGTATTAAGCAAATGTACCTATTTTCACGCTGACCATAAATTTTTGATAACCCCCAGTTTTTATATCTTTTAAAAGTCATCAAAATCTAAGCATGTCACGCACCGTATTATAGTGACCACAAGTATCGTGTGCTGTGTCTTTCAAAGTTAAATGGAAAAATTGCGTGTTTTTTTAATTACACCAGTGATAGCTTACTAACCTTGAAGCAGCATTTCGGGGGAGATGAACTCTTCAAGACGAATCGCGAACCGGATCCAGTCGATATACAGCACGCGCCCATGAGCTTCGCCCAAGCACTCCGCCCAGTGCTCGTACACAACCTCAATCGTGTTTTCATCCACTTCCGTAAAGTAGCTTAATGCGCCACCATTGAAGACCCACTGCATGGCTTCTTGAGCTCCTTCAGCCTCGAGATTGCGTGCGTTGCCTTTCGAATCCACAATCGTCACGCTGTGCTTGAGAATACGTCTTCCATCTGGCAGCTGCGACCAGACGTGTTTTACCAACGCGATGTATCGGAAGTTGATGTCACCTGGAATGTTACATGCCACAACGCGGCTGGTTCGGCCAAACCGTTGAAGTGGTTGACAGTAAAAGTCGCCACGTTGGGTACTCCCCCAACTGCTAGGAGAAATAAGCGCTGGCCATTTATTCGCATCCACTTGTAGTAGAGTCTGGAATGCATCGTGGAGGG